CCAGAAACATCTGGGAAGATGATGCTAAAGCAAAACTAATAAACTAATGAATGCCTCACTTGAGTTTCACAAAGCATATGCTTCAGAATGGCAGAATTAAATCACAGATATACTTTCCAAACAATGATAGAAATCAGGAATAACTCCCTCCTAACTTAATAAGCAAATGGGATCAGAAAAAGGGCCCTCACAACCAGTGACTATGATGACCAAAAATCATTTCTGTTTCTGATTAAGTTCTCTAGCTTCCCTCTTAATATACATGAATAAATCACGTTTACAAAAGATATGATTGTCTAAATTTTTAAATAATACTTCTCCATAATATTACATATATTTCATGGAAATTTTACACTAAAGGCACAGCAATAATTCTCATTCTTATTTAAAATTGCTGATAAAATTACTGAGAAACATTTCCTCTGCTCAGAGCTCAAATGGAATTGGTGGTGCTCACAAGGCATAGATGGAGATAGACCTGTGAGAAACAGAGAAGGTTAATGTACAGGTCTGACACTCATTTACTCACAACAGATAGAATCTATACAGATACAGAGCAAGCTCAAAGAGTGCACTGGATCCCTAATAATTCTTCAAGAGCAGTTTATTAATCTCATCTTCATCTGGCTTTTATTCAATAGTAAATTAAAGTCTCCCTAAAGAGTACAGCAAAAGCCCCTAGGGAACATCAGGCTCCTCTTATGGTCTCATCTCTTGACACAACCTTCAGAATAATGGGTTTCTTCGGCTTAAGAATACCTTCTGTGGCTAATATCAGAGGGATCTGAAAACATTAAATAAGGATATTTAGAAGCAATAAATAAAATACCAACAATCACAAAAGCAAAATAGAAATGATACATTACAGAGAATAATGCTTTGCAAACAAATAAAAATCAGTTTTTAAATCATTTATCTTGGATTTCTTATATATTGTCTAAGATATGTCAAGATCTAATAATGAAAGCATTCATCTAAATGTTCATTCAGTAAATTACTGAGCACCTATTTGATAAGATGCTGAGACAAAATCATTTTGACTTCTATGCATTATTGACTTAAAAGTAAAAGAATAAGTTTTAACAATTCTAACCATATTTTTGCATACTGAAAAACTGTTTTTAATAGGCTATACAAAGTTAAATTTATGTGGTTAAAACTTCCAAGATTATCTTATGTCGGTATTTGTTGTA